ACAAAAATAAAATGGCGCTGGACCGATATGATGATAAGCGGTGTACACGTAGAATCCTCAAATGGAGAGCAAGAGGGACAATAACCATAAGAAAAGCTCAACAGAGATGGGTAGATGACATAAGAGCAGTGACAGGTAAACAGTAATATTGGCGTAAAATAAATAAAGATGAAAGCAATTGGGAGAGACCTACATCCAGAGTGTATGTAAAATGGTTGACGAAGAAGACGATCCCCATCTGAACACGTGTGGGACATATCGGAGACTTCTTATCGTCTTTAAACTTTAAGAGTACTTCCAGAGGAGTTAATCAAGTCATGGCATGAGATACCACAGGAGAATATTGACCACTTAATCAGAAGCGAGTCCAGGCTCAAGAAAAATAAGCAAAAAAGACTCTTTTCGAGACTGTGCAAATCTAGGTATCTGAAATTTTATTTTAGTTATCATAGGCCTATTTAAAGAAAATCTATATGTTTTCTGCATATATTTCGACGTCTTTGTTTAATTATTAACAATTTAGTGTTGAAAATGCCATGTTGTCAAGTTTTTGTTTACCACTAAAGAGCTTAATTTTTTTCAAACATATTTTTTTCTCCACTTTTTTTTATACATATTAATAGTTTAACACTTTAATTTTCATTTAGTATGCGCAGAATTACCGTATCTTCCATTATTTTTAACAACAGAATACTTTTTAAACTAATTAATGGATTAATCTAAAATGTTGAGGGTTTATTCAGGACCACAATACCGAATTTTGAACGCAATAACAAAATAGGTTGATTTTTTTACAATAGTTATAAACAATTAACGATTTTACCTTATTTTACAGTTTTCGAAGAAACAAATTAATTTTACAACTTTTAACCATCGCCATTTTAAAGCATTTTTTTTATTTACAAACATTGTGGCGTCAACCTCTGAGGTTATTAGCGACATATTATACATATACATGAGATACTTTATTTATAAATATTAAATTTTGTTAATTATATTAATGTCTTTAAGGAATTTTACCAATTGTTCTAAGATTTCATCTATATATTTTTCTCCTAAGATTTCACTTGTTGATCCGATGATGTGATTGGTCTGTTTCTGCAACGGGTATCTTGGACACTCTACATCTACAAGAACATGCTTAACACTGAGTGGAACTTATAACTGAGTGACGTTGAGGTATTTGATATATTTTTAGAGGTACTCGTTGTTGAAGGTGTCGTAGCAGTCGGTGCTGCTGAAGATACTGTAGTAGATACATTTCTTTTTGAAAATGTAGTAGTTAGGACAGCTATATCTGAGTTAATAACTACTGGCCATGTTATTTGCAATAGAAACGTACATTGTATAGTGTTAAAAAAAATTCGATTGCTAATGTTATACGTTATAAAAATGAAATCGGGAATTGGGATTGTGGGTGTGGATATGTAAATATGTCTACGGAAATTAAGTACATGTTTGTATTGCAGATTGGTGGTTACTATTCGCAAAAATGACATTGATGAAGTTAGTTTTAGCCCTAAAGATAAAAGTTCTTTCTCTATTATATTATGTGTGGGGTAGTGGGAGGTACAGTGGATATTAAGAGTCTTTCACATGGAGTTATTAGTAGATTAATTAGTCTACGGACTTGAATTTGTATATTGTTTACAGTGATGAAACCACCATTGTTTGAAAAAAATTCATCTACGATTTGTTTTTGGACTAACTAGAGTGTCTATCGCTAACAAGTATTCTTCTAATTTGACATTGAGAGAATTGAAAAACTATTGCTTGTAGTTTTGATGGATATATTGCTGCTTGTTGTTTACTGGCTGCAGCTGAGTAAAATAAAGGTAGTTGTGAAGTAGATTGAGATAATTCAACGTTATTCTCAGTAACATCAAATTTCATTTTTAATCACCATTTGATTATCCTAAATACGGACCTGTTCCGCTTCAGGTTTTGGTAATTACCTTTGATGATAAGATACGGTGATCACGGATTACTTTATTAATAATAAAATATGTACTCACAGATCTTATTTCTTCGATGCACAATGAACTAACACTAAAACACTCTATGATGGTGTAAGAATTTTATCATTGTTATTATGTAAATTTCACAATTTGTCAGGATCGATCAAAAAGTGTCTATGCTTATTAGATATCGGCGTTGGGCCTCCTTTTTTGTTTTAAAAGAAAGTTTTGTAATTAATATAATTAATTTATAAGTTGTAATTTTACCTCAAGTATCAAGCTTTTTAATAGTAAACAAAAAATCTAAAAAATTGAATTTTTACAATGAATTGATATTATTATACAAATAATTGTTGTATATATGTAATCTATCACTCCTCTTATCTATCCTTCACAAATTAAAACTAAAAATAACAAGTAATAATAAAAATTAAAAATAATGCCTTAATCCTGTCTAAGAATTTATTACCTGACAAATTCAACTACTACAAAAAACAAAAAATTTACAGGCCAAACCTTTAAAATGCTCTCGTCCAATAAATTCTTGGTGAATCATACGGTTTTATCTTTTTTACAAAGTTTGTCAAATCAAATCTAAAAATGAACAGTACTTAAAAATCAATTAGTAACCAACCAGTCCGGTCTTCTGTACACTAACGAATTAAAGTAATTGTAAAGTACTCCTAAAACTATTAGTACCGCCTTTATGATTGATTCGGCGAATCATCAGGTTTTACCTTTTTACAAATGATGTCAAATCAAAACTAAAAATAAAAAGGAAGTACTTACAAATCAATTAGTAACGAACCAATCCGGTCTTCTTTACACTAACGAATTAAAAGAATAGGAAAGTACTCCTGGTGGGATGAAATTATTAGTACCGCCTTAATTACTGATTTCGTCTAAGTATTAGTACCAAGTTATCAATATAGAACCGACATGAATTTATGATTTTAAAGAACTAGTCTTTACACTAATGATATAGAAAGGTGACGTACTAATAGTTTGTTCTAGAGACATATTTTATTATTCAATTTATTTTTCAGTGCTTGGCTAGCAATGGGTTAAAGATTTTAGGATAATAAATACTATGCAAAATGTGAATTTGGCATTTGACACATTGTCCAATGACTACAAAAAGAATTTGAAATAAGTCTAAAAATAGTTGGGTAACAAATGATATAATACACGAGGGAAATGATTTGAGAAGTCTTTTTTGGCTATCAAATAAATCTAAAAATATAGACATTCATTTAAAATATAAGGAAAAAAAGAAGCAATATGACAAAACAAAAAAAAAAAACGGGGTCCAAACTATATGGAATTGAAGACGATAGGCCTAATTCTCTCCAAGAATTAAGAGAAAAGATCTCTGATTCAATGAGAGGTATTAGTCCAGAAACATTAACTAATGTTAGACGAAACTTTTATAATAGATTGGATTATTGTTCTGCTGCTAATGGAGGCTTATTTGAATATTTTTTGTAAATACATTTCATTAGAATAAAATACGTTTATTTAGAATATTTTTGTAGAATTTCTGCTTATTTAAACATTTTTTGTAAGTACATTTATTTAGAACGTTCTTTTATGTTTGAAGAATTTTTACTTTATTTTCGAAAGTACATACGACATTGTTTTTTCAATAAGATTTTCATGTTTTACTATAAACATTTCTAATAAAGACTGAAATGAATGTTTTATGATTTAAGGCAAAACGATATAATATCTGAATAATTTCAAATTTTTAAAAAAGTAACAACTTCGTAAAGATTTGAACCCTAACCGCCTGCATGAGTACATCGTGCCTTGAACCCTGATCCATCAGACTTTTATAATTCTTTAGTGACAGTTTGGGTTATTATTCTGTTGCTAATGAAGGCTTATTTGAACATATTGTAGATACGTTCATTTACAAAATTATTTTATTTTTGTAAAATTTTTACTTATTTAAACATTCTTTTAATTTTGAAGAATTTTTACTTTATTTTCGAAAGTACGACGACAATATTTTTTCAATAAGATATTTATGTTTAACTTTAAACACTTCAAATACTAGTAACGACTGACACAAATGTTTAGTGATTCAAAGCAAAACGATCTCTGCATAATTTCAAATTATTAAAAAAAGAAAACCTCATGTAGGTTTTGAACTCTAATCATCTGCGTCGCAGAGTCGAATTCTTACCACTAATACACGAAGGATTGCTAATTATTCTGTGACAAGAGTTTATGAATCACCTCAAATCATAGTAGAAATTATTCTTGGTTAATAATTTAAAACTTCAGAATAAGTAATCACTATTAATTAAATTATTTTTTTCACATTTTTGCTTTATTGTGGTGAAACAGTTTTTACTTTATCTAAATTAAAAAATGGAAATACGTCACACATACGACGTCAAACTGTCAAACATAATAATTATGACCGAGGTGATTTAGATCAAAGGTAACGTCTAAAGGTGTGAGACTATCGATAGTCGTAATGTAATGTAATGTAAATTATAGGTTTCTATCGATTATTTCCCACCTCTACGAGTTTCATCTCCTTTTATTTCACAAAACTGTGTTTTCTATCTCTTACGTTAAAAAGCCGGGTGATAAGGCACTCACCACTGTATATATTTTTAAATGTACACTACATAAAAGCCAATATAACTACTTTTCATTTAAACTCTGATTATCACCAGTACTCAACTAGACAAAATGACTTCATCAGAGTACCAAAACATAATACAGCACGATTTGAAAAATTCCAGTATTATAATATAAGCTTTTCAATCATCTTCCAAACGGTATTAAATTTAAAAACGAATTTAAATAAATTTCGAGGTAAATTAAAATCTTTTCTATTGCAAATTTGTTTCTATAGTGTAAGTGAATATCTGTGATGTTTTATAAGTACTTATATTTTTTTATTCGACTTATCCTATATCATGTAAATGATCTTTCAGGATGAATAAATTATTATTATTATATTATTATTATATAGCAGATTACGAATAATAAATAAGGTATTGTAATATTATGGTAAAAACTTACCTAAAATACATTTTCAAAAGTGATGCAACGGAGTGAATGTCTTGCAAGATATCTTCTGTACACAGGTTTGGAATTCGGTCTTCATCGAAGGCGTTCCGCAACTTCTGGATGTTCGAAGTAACTCCAGATAACCTAAAAGAACAACGAATCGTCTTTGAAGTTACGCTAGACCACCATTTTCATACGGATCGTATAATTTTCCGACAAAGGGAAGTATTATTTTCGTTGTCGAGATAAAATGTAGATTCTTATCCAATGCGAAGGTCTTTAAATGCTTAACAAAGAACAGTTAAATTGTTTTCGAAACTTCGTCAATAGAAAACATTTCTGACAAGTTGTTAAAAGGAGTAAAATACAAGAAAATAAATTTAAAGCAGATTTGAATTTATATCAACGGAGAGGATTTATTGTATAACGAAGAAATTAATTTTTTTGTACGACAAATAAGAGATAAATTAAAAATTAAGTACTATAAAACATGAACGAATACGTGGGGGAGGTGAAAAGTTCTCGATTTAGCTTATTATTATTGCTCAGTACTATGGAAAATACTGTTTTGTAATACTGGCAAATTGTCGTTAATTGGGAATTATAATTAAGAAAACCGGGGAAAAAATCAAAAAGATGTACATTTACTTTTAACTTTTATCAAACTGTTTTTTTTAACTTTAAATAAAATTTCGAGTAAATTTGTTTCACACGTTAAATAACTCCTAACATTATCAACGATAGCTAATGATAATGAAATATTTTGCTATTATGATGCATCACATGTACTAATGTAGGCTGGTCAAGTTAGTAAAAAATAAGACTGTTTTCGTTAAAGTGACAACATGTGACGGGTCTGACAGTTGAAATGTGTAGTATGAGATATTACAAAAATACTCATATCTCATTCTCAATCAAAACGTCAAACTCATTATTTTGCTGATAACTTAAACACTTGTTTATTTAGAGACATGATGTCTCTAACTCTCTTTGTAAACCATTTTTCTTCCACTCCTGAATGTAGGTATCTCCCAATTGCTTCCATCTTTCTCTATCTTGCGCCAATCCAATCCACTGTTTGCCTGCCACTGCTGTCATCTACCCATCCTTTTTGAGGTCTTCCTGTGCTTCTTGTTGTCGTCCTTTTGTTGTCCTGTTGTCATTATATCGGGCAACGTGACCTGCCCACGCCATTTCATTTTTGTAATTTCTTCCACAATATCCCTAATCTTCGTCCTACGTCTTATCTCGGTGTTTCTAATCTTGCCTCTTAGTGATATCTCCAGCATAATTCGTTCCATTGCTCTTTGCGTTGTTTCTAATTTTTTAGCAGATTTTTTGGTAAGGGCTACTGTCTCCAAGCCGTAGGTACGAACTGGTAGTATGCATGTGTTATACACCTTTTTCTTTAAGTTTACAGGAATTGAGGTATTTTTCAAGATTTATGCTAGTTTGCCGAAAGCGCCCCATGCTAGTTGTGTTCTTCTTTTAATTTCAGCATCTTGATTTGGTTTTCCTAGTTTGATGACATGACCTAGATATACATAATGTTCAAAATTTTCTATGGTATGATTTTGTATTGTCATATTTGTCTGGTCTCAACTCAGTATTTTTGTTTTACTGTAGTTCATTTTGAAGCCTACCGCTCCTGAAACTGCATTTAATTGTTGTGACATATCATTTAGTACTTGGATATTATCGGCTATTAAAACTATGTCATCAGCAAATCTCAAGTGATTTAAGTATGATCCGTCGACGTCGATACCCTTGTTGTTCCATTCTAGTTTCTTAACACTGTCTTCTAGAGCAGGGGTAAATAGTTTGGGGAGATGGTGTCTCCTTGTCTTACTCCCCGTCATAGTCTAACATTAACATTATACTTGGTGCATTTTTCTATTAGTGTTCTTACGGTGTGCAAGTGATCTATGGTATTAAAATGTTTTCTGAATCCAGCCAGCTCAATAGGTTAATAGAAATCGAGCTTATGTGTTGGGCGGTTGGTTATGATTTTAGTTATTAATTTATACAGATGTAATAGCAATGATATTGGTCGGTAATTCTCGATGTTTGCTTTGTCTCCTTTCTTCAACAGTAGAATGACTTCGGAGTTGTACCATTCTTGAGAAATCTTTCCTTCATCAATTACTTTATTAAATAAAATATTTAATACCTGTTAAATTTTCTGCAACAAATTTTCAACATTTCAACTGTAATTTTATCCTCTCCAGGACATTTGTTCGTTTTTAGTTGATTTAGGGCCATTCTTAGTTCATAATCGGTTATGTCCGATATTTCTTGAGCCGGTGTTAATTATTGTTCGTGCAGTACGTCGTTGTTGTGGTTGTGTATTTACCGAGTATAATTTTGTGTAGAATTTTTCAATGACCTCGCTTATTTCCTTTCTGTCTCGGACGGTGAAGTTTTTCTCATTTTTTATTTCTATGATTTTTGTTATGCCGCTTGAGGTTTTTGCTTGTATGTCTTTAACAAACAATTTTTTCAGAAAATGAGATACATCCAATGAGATATGTTAAATTAAAATCGAATACTAAACAAAAAACTTATTGCAAAATGAACAACAAAATCACTGATTTTGAATCAGGTTAATACCTTTTTTATTGTTTATTAAAATTTGTTTAAATGTACCAAAACTTGAGGGTCTTCATCCAGCAGGAAGATTCTTAAAAGCGGCGTCCTTATTTTAAATAGCTTGAGAACCTTCTTGTGTTTTGTTTGTCCAGAAGAATCATGTAAGTACCCCTTTGTTTCATTTTGGTAGTTACCCTAATCCAACCCCCTTGCCATTATATAATACTCTATGTGGTAGGCAAAATAATCGTTGCAATATAAAATATAATTATGTTAAAAAATACGATTTATGAACATTATTAAATTAATACAATTACTAACTCAAAATAAAACCACAATATTGTAAAAAATCTTTATATTTGAAACATGGGACACTTTTCCACATCTCTGTCATCCTCAGCTATAAATTTAGGAGAAGGTAGGTAAATGGAGTATAATTAAATGACATAGGCTAGGTTGTCGGTGCCATAGGAGAGAATTATTAACAAGGACTTCAAAAGTCCAACTGAACTTTTCTTATAAAAAATTGATTAATTTATGATGATCCAAAAAAAGGGCTATCTTGACTTCTAGGATCATAGGACTTTTTTTGTTGTGTTTTTAATCAGCATTCCAAATATTATTATTATTATTCCGAGGTTATTATGATATGTCTTAACGAAGAAAATAAGCCCCGGATTATTGAGGTCCATTCATTCATATTATCTGGACCAGCCTTAAGACCCATTTACACGGGTAGAGTAATGATGCAAGTACTTGGTAGAGTAGAGTAACTCTACCCGTAAAAACGCTCAGCGCAGTAGAGTAGCAAGTAGAGTACCTAGTAGGTGGTAGACTAGAATGACTAGCAACATATGGCAAAGTAACTCTACTCTACTACCACCACCACCGCCAAAATGTCCACTCCCTGCGCAGTCTACCAATCGAACGCGTCAATTCTGGTAGAGTAGAGTAGGTAGGAGATTGCATAGGGATGATGTCATTCCGGATGGAGCTGTGTTTTGTGTAAATAGTGAAAATTAAATTCACCGAAGATGAAACTTTAAAACTTGTACAGATGTATGGCGAATACCAGTGTTTATGGAATTTAGGTAGTGTACAACTTTGAAATTGCAGGTCTTGAAACCCTAAAAAAATGAGAAAGGCTTCGATAGCTGTTCCCTGTAGCTAAAATATTCAACATAATCTCAAGCTTCACTCTTGGTTTTATTGCATCATTTATAAATGTGTCTTGTCGTCCGATTTTGTCATGCACCATATTCAGAAGTTCTTAGAATTTCCCTGGGATCATCCTTAGACACATCTTATATTCCAACTCATCCTCTAAGGCTAGTTCTCTTAGCAGAAGAGCTGAGGCCCGTGTGTATCCTCGACTTACAAAACATTTACGATCCAAAATAGTTTAAGTTTTATAGTTTATTTTTATGAACGAGAGAGTAATTAGCATAATTTTAACTGGTACCTTCGACCACTCCATGGGCGTGCTCAAGATTAATTGAAAAATTACTTTGAATAATTGTAAAAAATAAATGAATTATTTCAGTGTTATAAGTGTTATGTGTATGTAAACAAAAGTGACCTCTTTTATCACACACTATATTAGAAGTGACTGGCCTACATTAAAAAGGGTTTTAAAAAATTCACATTTTTTTTAATTTTTAAAAATTACAAAAGAGAAAAAGAGTTTTTAAAACCGTCTAAGGTATGTTAAATATATGAATAAAAATATTAATATAAAATTTACAGCTACTTGTTACAAATCCAAATCAGATTCAGAAGACGAACTTTCAGAACCAAGATTTATAATAACTGGCTCGATCATTTTATCAGTAATATTGTCCAGCTTCCACATTTTTTCCTCTTCTTTAATAGTGTGATTTACTGCCTTTTCCCAGTTTTCAGGTTTTACATTATTTACGGCCTCCAAAAACAACTGTTTAACATCATGAATTTTAAAAGTGGTATTTTTTCTTGAAACTTCACTCTTTATCTGTGCCCATACTAGTTCAATCGGGTTTAATTCACAATGATATGGTGGGGATCTAAGTACTGTCATTCCACGATTTTTGGCAATTTCATCAATTTCGTATTTTTTAAATTTTTCTTTATGAAGGGCACACAACGAATAAAGTTCCTTTCTTATAGATCCGGGATGGTACGTAATATTTTTTGAACTCAGCCAATTCTGCAAGTCTTTTTTTAACCACTTGGTTGTGGGCAGTCCTTCTATAAGTCTGGAGTGATAACTTGCATTATCCATTACTATTACACAGTTCTTAGGAAGAAGATCTATCATTTGTTCGAACAATTCTTGAAAGACATCAGCGTTCATGTCTTCATGGTAGTCACCGGTACGAGTTGATTCAAAAGTTAATAAACCACTTCAACAAAACCGTCTGAACTGCCAATGTGTACTATTATCAGCCTACGTCCCTTTCCTGATGGTGGGTTTAAACCAGTAGATAAGTTATTTACAAAAACGTGCCTTTGACTTGTAACAGTTTCATCCTGCCAAAATTTATTTGGTGTATGACCCTCGTTGATCCATGTTTCATCAAGATAAAATATTTTTCTTTTTTGGTTTCTCATTTCCTTTATGGTTCTTAGAAAATGTCTTCTCCATATGACAATATCGCTTCTTTCTAATAAAATAGACTTTCTGGGATTCTTTTTCCAGCGGAAGCCTATTTCTTTGAAAGTTTCCATAACGTACTTCGACTCATTTCTGGGTAATCCTTATTATCTCGAACTGAGACAAGAACTTTCTCCAATGTTGGAAATTCTTGTCTAAAGAAGAATTCATGCACTTTCCGTCGAAGTCCTTCTTTAAAATGATATTCTATTTGAAATTTTGGTTTCCCTGGAGCATTACGTGGCATTTGAAAACTACCACAGTTCTCTTCTTTAATAACTCTGTAAATCGTAGATTTCCCAACACCAAGTGTACTGCTAACTAACTCAACGGTCTCATCAACACTTTCACATAAAAGTTTGTCTGTAAATGATTTAAAACAATTAAATATTAATGTTTTTTCATTAACTGGTAAAGGACCAATTTTTCGGCGTTTACACGGCACTTCCAAATTTTCCATAACACTAGTATACACAATAAACTGCACCTTGCAACTGAAGTACCTAATTTTAGTGAACTGTTAAGAATTTTGAATACGCCACTTGGACCTTCCTACAAAATGGAAAAACCCACTATTACATTTTCTGTGGAATAAGTTTAGAAGGTAATTATCTAGTCAATTACTGTCGTAGATTCCTGGAATTAAAGAATTAAATGTTTGATTGATGAAACCCTTACTTCGTGGAATGCACTCATTTCAGATAAAATAAAACGTTTTATTTTATCTAAAGAATTAAACTTTATTTTGCAAATAGTTAGGTACTTATTAAACTTTTATTGGTTATATATAACCAATAAAATAAACATCTTACATTTCTTGCAAATTCATTAGTACCTGTTAACCTCCATCACTCCGACACTGGCAACCTTATTTAGGGATTAGTAACCCTCACAACTATTGTATTCTATTCTGCTCCAACCTTTATACCTGAGGTCATACTCAATTTAAAATTGTTTTCCTATATACTTCTGTAAAGTTGTTAACAAATATCTGTTTTTCATTGAGTCACCCGTATTAACAGTTTAGGGATTTGCATACATAATTTATTGTTTTATTACCCTCTCATACATAAAAATACACTATAGGAGAAAGTGACCAAGCTCCACCGAAAAGGCAACGTACGGGACGTGGACGGTGTCAAAAGTGTTCCAGAAATTTGACCGGAAAACTAAACAAACGTGCGATAAATGCCAAAATTTTTATTGTTTAGATCACCTTCATTGCATTTGCGACAAATGTATCCAGTTCCTGGACTCCTAACTTTTTTCAAGCTTGGATACCCAATGTCCTGCTTTTTTATATTTTTATTTGAACGTTTTGGAAAATCTCTTATTTTGAATCATTATCTTTTGTTTATAAATTTTTTATGCATCTAGTGTTTTTTGTTTGTAGGAATTTTATTATTTTGTAAAATTTACCTACTACGCGGTCAAATTTAATCAAGTTGTAAAAACTGCTGATATTTATAAAAAATTAGATAGTCAAATAAGATATTAAAAAAAAATAAATCCGTGTTCGAAATGTTTGTTGAGTTTTTTCAATCAATTTTTAATGGTGTCAATAAAAAGTAGTTAAAAGTAGTTCCACTAAAAAATTGGTGAATACCTAGATAAAAGTCTTTTTGTAATATCTCACACTACACATTTCGACTGTCAAACTCGTCTATTTGTGTCGAATAAAAAACTAACTTAATTGGCCTAACATCACTTTTACAGGAACGTAGAAAAAATATTGTATGCAAATATTGTATGCACTTCAAAAGATGTTGATTTTGTTACAATTTTAAGTCGCGTACAACGTGCATTAAACACTTCCCTTTAATTTCGTCAGTGTGTTTATTTTATCTACTATTATAATTAGAAACATAACTCACCTGTAGATTCCGTCGACGATGCCGTACTTCTCAATGAACTCAGCGCAACACTTGAGCACCATCGGAACTTCGTTTCCGGAATTGAGCAGATGTTCGCCGAGATCGCAGCCGAATACCCTTTCCTTCAATATTCCTGATTGTTTCAATCGCCTCCTCGACGGCCTGTTCAAAATAAAACTCCTAAAGAACGTGATCAGTTTACCGTGTTTCCTCAATACTGGTTTAATCGGTGTTAATGCTAAGGACCTACAAAAACGAGAAACTCTGGTAGCGTTAATGCTTAGTTCAATCACGACCGTGTGTTTAAATGTTTCAGGTTTATGGAGGTATTAAATGGAGGTTTGTGGAATTTCAACCTGAGTTAATAAAACAATTTTAACGAACTACACCAACGGACTAGTTATAATAAAAGCGTATTTACTAGCGAACAGAATTCCGAGGAAACATCTAGAGAGCAGGGCGGATCTGTTTTGAGGTGGGTGTGAGAGAGAATAATTAACTTAACCTCCCTCTCAAATAGGTCAGGAACAAAAATAAAAAAAAATTACAATATTTTAAAATTACTAAAAATACCAATTTTTTCTTGATATGCATTCCACTTCGGAAATCGTTTAATTGTGGCTTATTACCATTTAAATAGTAATTACTTTAAAATGCCACAAGAAACTTCAGAACAATATTAAGAAATTTGGATGGGGTTGAATCGTAAACCGACTTTGAAAGATTATTTTAGCACCAATATGCTCTACAAAAATGAAATTGAAACATTTGTTCACATGTCTAGGATAAGGTTTGAGTTCCTTTCGTCCAATTTGTACTTCTCAAACAACGAAATTGCCTCAGATGACAGGCTCAAAAAATCTTCCCTTGCAAAATTTGCTAATCAAGAAGTTCCAATCAGCATATGTCCCTGACAAGAATGTGTGTACAGATGAGATGATGATTCCTTTTGGAGGACGACTGAGCTTTCGTCAATATATACCGAGGAAGCGCAACAAATACGGTGTAAAATTATTTGGGATGTGTGTAGTGAAAGGTTACACATACAATTTTAAAATTTATACAGGAAAAGAGCAAACACCTAATAAAAAGCCAATGGTACAAGAGTGGTGCTACAGCTTATGGAACCACTTTTACATTCAGGTCGCGTTCTGAGCACAGATAATTATTACACTACCGTGAATTTAGCGCACGAAATTCTAAACAAAGATACACATTTAATAGCCACACGGAGAAAAAACAGGAAGCATAATCCGTAGGGTAGTAAGTGAGGCTAAATTAAAAAGGGGTGAATGAGACAGAGCAACAGTAAAGTCATAATTGGATATTGGAAAGACAAAAGAGATTTCATGTTTCTCACTACGGAATCTGTGCCTGAAATAGTGGATGTGCCAACAAAAAGGGGTGTGGTGAGTCCTTCCACAATCCTTCAAAGCCTTTCACAATCGTGCGGTATAATAATGTGAAATCATTTATAGACGTCTCTGACCAAAAGGCATCATATTCATCAGCAGTGTGTAGGGGTATTAAATGGTATAGGAAAGTATTCATAGAACTTTTAGTTAATACATCTATTATACATGCACATACTGCATACGAGGCTATAACAAACAAAAAAATAAGTGCCACTAAATCAGAAATCGCCTCAGAAATTTTTTGTAGTCAAAATCTTCAGATTGAGAATTTGGATGATCGTCGTGTTAACCAAGAAAGAAATCACAAACTTTCCGAAGTTTGTGATTTCTGAAATCAGGGAGGTCGTTGTACAAGATGTTATAAAATTAATAGTGACAGAAATGGACGCAACTTCGCTATAAAAGAAACACAAAGTGTTAAAACATCTTGTCTAGCATGCTGTGAGAAGTTCTTGTGTACCAACTGCTTTTTTGACATTCATTATCGTCAAGCAAAACAAAAACATTGTGTCCAAAAATGGTACACACAGTTTCTAAGAAGATAATTACGCGTTTATATCTGTCACAAACTGTGTGTACCATTTTTTGACACCGCCTTTACACATGACTTTTTTTTCAAAAAAATACCTAAATGTTTGTGTTTACATATTTTTAGTAAGTATTAAATAATATTGTGAATTTCACCAAAATATAGTTTCAGTTTATGACAAAAAACTTCAAATTTATAGCCAGTAGCCAAAGTGTTAATATTCCCGATCTATTTGAGAGGGAGGATAAACTAATTATTATTATTATTATTATTATTATTGAAATTATCACACAACTTTTTCTGCAAAAATTAGATTGCAACTCTCACATTCAAATACAGTCATTGTTTCACACAGCCGGCCTGATCTACTACGAAAATAGAAGAATATAAAACAATATAAACATAGCAAACGAAAGATATTTAAATGCATAGGCACTAACTATAAATTTATCAAATTTGTTTTATTACATTTCTTTGGCCTGCCTAAATAATTTTTTAGACATTCTATAAACATTAATAATGAAATAATAATGTTTATATATGGTACCCTTTTTATTTTGTATTTTGGTTAATACTGTATATCGTCAATTGCTTGGATCATTTACAGTAAACCACATGAAAAACTTTCCCATTATATTTAAAAAATCATTAAGTCTACTTATTACATACATTGTCTAATTGGGTCAAATGAATGGAGAGATAAGTAATTTAATAGTTCATTTACTTCTTCACACAGAAAGTAACAGGAAACTGTCTTCTTAAATTACGCTACATCAAAGACTAGATTATAATATCCATTTACTTAATTAGAGTTACATAAATTACAGGGTTCATTTCAATATATTTACGAAATAAGTCGTTTCGTGTCCTGTTTTCATTAATCTCCTATTACTTAATTTTCAAAACGTGGCTGTTACAGTATATTTCAGTTTTTTTCATGCGTCTGCAATATCGTGTGGATTGCTTTAAGTATACATTTTCTAGTAAGAATGGATATAATAAACCTGATTACGGTTTCTACCAAGAGAATTATTTTGCAGACAATATTCGTAATTTGTAACTATTCGTAACTAAAGACCTTGACAAACTATGATGAAAACAGAGCGATAAGGCACAGAAGACCAACCAAGAGAGCAATTAGTAGGGTTGTAAGGGTATCGACCCAAAAAGTGAAGAGAGAAACCTGAAAACGTAGTTACATAGTAGGAAACGGGATTTGACAGGTTGCCATGGGACTGGACCTCACAAATGAAGCAGTTAGAACAGATTAGTTAATAAAACGGGATAGGTAGGGTCAAGGACAAAAAAAGAAAAAATCAACAAAATATAGACCTGGGAATGCATGCCCCACCTCTAGCGTAACTACTACTACTTCACATCATTTAATCAATTTTTTTATGACTTTGAGGTTATCCAAAAGAGGGCAGCAATTTTTCCCACATATATCCCAGATGGATCAGCCACGATTACTAAGCATTAAGGCCACGCACCGTTAGACACGGCCTTGGTAGCTAGATCCTCCGGATGGTCGGCTGATACGAAGGCAAACACTATTTGCCAGTACGGACAGTCAGTGACCAAGGCAACTAGCTCGTGGACGGCACACATTTGGAAATATGGCCATTCTATAGGCAATTCACAAAAAGGAATCTAAACAAAGAGACATACGCATAACGCCACTTCTTCTAAAGCAGCTTCACCGCCGAAACGCGTCTCGAATGTCTCGAATGAGGTAAAACTGGCTTGGGGATCATCATGGAACGTGACCGATTTGATCTACGGACATGATAACATTTTATTCGCGAATTTTATATCCCCTGAAGCTAAGATTTACTTTGTTGTATGTGTGTGTGTTGTTTGTAATTAATAAAAATAACAACCATGGCCATGTAAAGAAGTAAATAGTGGGACCACATGAGTAAAAATAACGATAGTAAGAAGAGAAGAAACAGCTCTTTAGAAACGAGAAAGGTACACAAGGAAAAAAAAGAAAATGAGCAATGTATGAACTGAGGGATAATCGGCAAAGGACTGGGCTAAAGACAGGAGATCTCTTCTGAGAAATTTACGATAATTCTCATTTATGTTGAAATAAACGCACAAAGACATTAACACATATAAAATTGTTACATACACAACAATTAGAGCATATTTAAGATATTTTTTATATTTTTAGAATATTATTATTTGATATTTTTGTAAAATTTAAACGTAATTTGTGTATTTCATCAAGAAGTCTAATAAAGTATTGATTCAGGAGGCTATTAAGTTCATACTACAATTATTTCTAAGCGACTAATATTGCTCATAACATTTGTTATAAAAACATGCTAAAAAATTTAATAATGAACATTAATTACCCTACAACTGGCGGAGGTAGAGGCATATTTCTGGGCACCTTATCTCCTATGATATGAACACAGTGTTGAGGAAAAAACCCCACTTGAAATCCCCGTTTCCCCCTCCACCACATCGATTCCCCTGGACTAGCCATGTCTATCACTGAGATCATGTCGCCGACTTCTAGGTTCAATTCGTCTCGAGCCTGAAAAAAAAAGAATAAAATAGAATATCTTATCTTACGTAAAATAAATTTTCAGAAAACAGAATACCTAGCAACATCAGAAAAAGCAGTAAAAACTCTTGAAGTAGACAAAGATTGACAAATAAAAGCCACAAACAAATCATCATATCACATCACAAAGAACACGAAAACAAAAATTTCCTATGACTTATAGGGCAGAAATCTGGATATTAAACAAAAAAAAGCCCGAAATAAACTTATGGCCACCCAAATGAAATATTGGAGGAGGAGTTGGAGAGTTACAAAAATGGATAAAATCAGAAACAAGGATTTTAAAAGGAGAATGGGGGTAACTAACAAAGTGCTGGAATATATAGAAGGAAAAAGACTAGATTGGTATGGGCACGTTAGAAAACAGAAGGGTGGATATGGAAAATAAGAGATTGGAATCCACAGGGAGGAGAAAAAATGGGTAGACCCAGAGGTTAGAGGCAATGGAACTACAAGACTTATAGAATGGAGAATGGAAACGTCGAAAGAAACGCATTATCAATTAAAAGTAATTCCCTTCAGGTATAGTAGATTGGCTGCCGAACAACCAGCTTAGATATCAGACGACGCCACAAACTGAATGTAAATAAATTCTTTACCTGCGAAACATATCGACGAACACTATAGGCGGCTGCGACTGCAGGAGTATTAATCGATCTGCTTTCTTCACTTGGTACCAGCAATCTGTGACCTTTGTTGTCCATCTGTAACCAGTTCAACACGGGACCGCAATTGACCGAATTGTCGGCTATCTTGCTGAAACGCTCCAAGTAGAGGATGAGTTTTGTCTGAAACAAATAAAATTATAGTCAATTAGTTGCACATGGAATGTTAACATAAATATTAGATAATGTAAGCAGTACTTTATAGTCCAGTCAAATGGCAGTTTTAGCTCGAAAATATTCTGTGAGTTTCGAAAATTGGTAATTTTATGGATTTCGGTACGCTCTCTTCGAATTTCAACTTTGCCACTCGTACCCTCCCCGTCCGCGCCACCGTATTGGAAAAATTACGCCAAATAACAGTTTCTTTACAATGCCTCTTTTCCGATGCATTTAACGAGAAAAACATTTACATACCTACAAAATTAAACTAGAGAAAATTTCCTACAATTTCCATAACTTCCTACAACATAAAATTTCCTCCTTCGTTTAGCTGTTCTTGGCAGGTAACGATGGCAGAGATTCTCAAAGCAGATGGAACACCAGTTTTACGAAACACAAAAAGAAATATGGAGAATGATCAAACAGAATTAGAAAAGAGATAAACGGACTAATAAAAACGAAACACATTCAGCAGGAAACATGGGTAGACTACTTTCGATCTATATTTGCTAAAGGTGACGATAATAAACCACTAACACCAGAGGTGACGACAAACGAAGAAATAAATATTGAGGTGGAAGAGGCAAAGAAAGCATTAAGGAAATTCAAAAATAGAAAATCACCAGGCGATGACAGAATACCGAACGAACATCAAACATCCGAATACCTGTCTTCAAAAAGGGAGACAAATCGGGCCCGGAAAATTACAAAGGAATTAATTTATTAAACATGTAACGTTATAAACGTCACATCTTTATTAATTTATATTTAAATCTCTCTTTCTCCCTCTGTTTTTCTTTTCTTTCTCTGCCTTTCTTTTCTCTCTCTTTCTATTTCGTAGAATAAATATTCGCCCTCTCTTTTTCTGTCCGGCAGACTAAATATTCTGTTTTTTGTTGACAGTCAAGCTAATCTCATGAAATAGCAATATCCTATGACATCTGTGCTAACTTAATTCAGTTCCCCTACTTTCTATCAAGTCAACTTTTATAACATAATGGAAATATAATTTTTTGCCTGCTTTTGAAATTTATAAAAAGGCAAAAATTATTATAAGACTCATTTTATGGTCTACAATATTCTCTTGGGGTAAGTACTTTCATCGTAATCTTTATTCTATAATTCTGACCGCATTTCAAATATTTATAACCTTACTTCTTTCACCAAACCCCGCTTCTTTTCTTAATTATGATTTTTTATCGATTATATGCATCTAGAAATCTTAACAAAGTTTAGCTAACATTCAATAATAATTATATTTCATTTTATCCTTGCCATACGCTATTTGTTTAATTGTAATTTTGTAAAATGGCAAGAAAGTTAACCCTTTTTTTGATGTGTCTCTAATGCAAGCCGTTTCTGGTATTTTAGTTTATTGGATTTATTGGGTTTATTGAATAATTTTTAAGAATTTATTGATCACATCGATATTTTATTGACCATATTCATTTATTAACCATATGAGGACTCAACAACTTAGTAAGGACCTACATACACATGTTACTGCAGCTCTCCAGAAGACACTTTAATTGGAGGACCTAACATCACACAAGCAGAACATCGAAGCAATAAGTATCACGAATTAATTGTTAAGCTTGGCAGGGTTAATTATTGTTTTTTTTTTATTCTTTTTAATAAATATGTTTGGTTAAGATTTGTTTTAGGTGCTATCAGCTAAGAACTCAGGTTTAATCCCTAGTTTAAGACAAGACGAACTCACCCTTGAGATACTGAGCTAGGCAAGGTACAGATAATAAGCTCCCATGGTTGATTGAGGTATTATTTTTACAATAGTACTTCAATTCTTTTTGGTAGTCTTTTCGTTACAAACACAACACTAAAATTAACAACCAAATTGATAACAAATAAACTAAATGCAAGTTATAAAACTAACAGAACAACAACAAGGTTTTAGGTCGGAAAGATCATGCATGGACGCTATATTTATAAGGAGCAAATGCAAGAGAAATAATTAGAATACAACAAAACGGTATATCTATATTTCGTGGAGCCTAAGAAGGCGTTTGTTTGAACGGGTCAAATTAAAGCAAGTTATCCACTTATTGTACGCAAGGGAGATATCTCTAGGAATAATCAAAACGATCGAAAATATCTACCAGAACAACACAATAAAAGTAAAAGTAGAAGAAGAACTAACCGACCCTAATGAAGCTTACAATGGCATAAGACAGGGAGATTGCCTGAGTCCTGTATTGTTCAACCTGATTATGGATGAAATAATAAAAAGAGTAAGAACTAAAAAAGGATACCAAATGGATAAAAACAACTTAAAATAATCTGCTATGTAGACAACACAATACTACTCTCTCAAAAAGAAGATAATTTACAAACGTATGCTGCACCAATTTAATATAACCACCAGAAAATTTAACATGTTAATTTCCCCAAAAAAGACAAAATGCATGGTTATAACAGCAAACTTACTGAGATGTAAATTGGAGCTGGAAGGTCAGATAATAGAACACGTGATGGAGTTTAAATATATAGACATCACATCTTTTAGCTACTGAAAGCTCGAAACTGAAGTGGAAAATCAAGTGAATAGAGCAAACAGATCCGCAGGTTGCCTGAATGAAACAATGTAGAGAATTAAAAAAATATAGGGAAAAAAATAAAAGGCAGAATTTACAAAACAGTCATCAGACCAATAATGACATACGCAGTAGAGGCAAAACCTGACACAGAGAGGACACAAAGAATGTTAGAAACAGCAGAGATGAACACTTTGAAATACTGATGGTAAGATATACGAAGCAGATGCAAGATGGAGAACATCAAGAATTGGATAAGACATAGAAGAATAGAATGGAACGATCATATAAGTCGAATGACAACAAATAGAGTAGTAAAGAGGGCAACCGACTCAATTCCCCAATAGAAAGAGATCAGTAGGAGGTCCACGTAAACGATGAAATGACAACTTACGGGAGGCACATTGAAAAACAGACAGAGTATATATAAAAAGAAGAAGTTTAGCTCTTTCTGATGAACCAGGCGTAGGTCCTGCAAATCTGGAAAGAAAACTCATCGAGGTAATAAAGTGAAAAAACACTGAATGTGAAAGCAGAGTATAGTGAACAAGTGTAACGTTATAAACGCCACATCCTTATTAATTTTATATTTAATAATTAAATAGTTGCTATCATTTTATTTTTTTTATTAATTTATTAATTCTTTTACCTCCAGCTTTGTTTTTACATCCAGTTTTATTTTTTATTTAAAAAGTAGTTGGTGCCCTCTCTTTCTCCCTCTGTTTTTCTTTTCTTCCTCTGTCTTTCTTTTCTCTTTCTTTCTGTCCGGCAGACTAAATATTCTGTTCTGTGTTGACAGACAAGCAACATCCTAGACCTATGACATCTATGCTAACTTCAAGCAGTCGCACTACTTTCTGTCAGTTAACTTTTCTAATGTAGTGGGAATATAATATTTTGCCTGTTTTTGAAATTTATAAAGAAGGAAAAAATTATTATAAGACTCATTTTATAGTCTACAAATTCTCTTGGGTTTATTGGCGGATTTATTGATAATTTTATTCAAGACTATTGGAGGACCTTACCTAAACTCTAAACAAATCATGCAAATTTATTGACCAGTGAGGGACCTTACTTAAATTCTAATCAAATCATAAAAATTTATTGACCAGTGGACGACCTAAAATAAATTCTTATCAAACTATGAAAATTTATTGACCATTGGAGGACCTAACATCTACAACCCACAAACAGTCCATCGAATCAATAAGTATCACGAATTAATGGTTAAGTTTTGGCAGGGTTGATTGTTTTTTACTGTTTTTAATAAATATGATTGGTTAAGATTTGTTTTATTTGCTATCAGCTAAGAGTTCAGGTTCAATCCCTAGTTTAAGACAAGACGAACTCACCCTTGAGATACTGAGCTAGGCAAGGTATAGACGATAAGCCCCCATGGTTGATTAAGGTATTATTTTTACAATAGTACTTCAATTCTCTCTGGTAGTCTTATCGTTACACACGCTAAACAATAATAATATTATTACTGTAAGTAGGCTAGGAATGAAACTATAGGTCAAAAGACTACCTTAATACGTTAAGTTAAAAAATAACTACATAGTGATCTATCTGATCACATTGTTGTAATAAAAATATCGTTTAAGAGTTTCTTTAAGAATGTAATAAATAATCATATAATTCTACGTCTTACATATCAAAGAAATCGACTTATAAAATTATTATATTTTTATTTCCAAAAGTGTCTTACATTTTCCTCAGTCGTGTAACGAGTTCTTTGTTTGGATATAAACTCTATTTCTCTTTAAAACAATACAACCGTAAAAGCGTGGCTTTGATAACCGACGCTTCATTAAACTTTTTGACTGTTATTAGCCGACATTATCATTGTCACCGCGACTCTGGTGTACCTCACTCGCATCAGAGTCTATAATACACTTCCTGTGTGTCTCGAAAATGCTCGAATATTCTTGAGTTTCCTCGTCTATATTTCGATATGCCGCCACTTTTGGTATAATTGGAGGAGTCTGGTGCATTCTTTTCTTTTTTGCATCGAACAAAGTGAATAAGACTCGGAAATAACTATATATTTTTAAAGGAAGGCTTGCATCCAAGTGTCTTTCGAGATGCTTTTTTTCTACATTGGCGCATCGTGAAGATTTAATGGAAATATATAAATGATAATATAATTTTGAATAAAGTGGTTAACAGATTGAACTTGGCCAATAGAATATTCTGCTGGCAACAGAATAAAAATTTACAAAATAATTTTTCAAAATAGTCTAGCCGTCAGAGATTTTATCTTTAAAAATTATATAAACAAGCTGGATATTGCTGAGAATGTCAATTTTGGGACCGAAAAAAAGATGCAAAAATGTTTAGCACTTCCATCCTCGGTCCTAGAATCTGCGTTGGGGGGGGGGGGGGGGAGAACCTTATAAGCCGTAGAAAAAA